CCCCTGCCCAGATTACAGTCAGGAGGGCATGTTGGAGACCCACCGGTGCACCCTCACCTTGGGTATAGCCAGCAAACAGCTCACTGCAAGAGGCTGATGAAGACAACCCTCATCTCAGGGTCAGGAGCAGTGGACGTTGCCCTGCACGTGCCTGATGGACACCCTTCCAGGAAGTGGTGCCAGCTAAGGTTGCCTTGTTAGCTTAAGCCCCACCAATTCTCCCTGTATCTGCTGCAAGCCTTGCTTAGCAACTATGCTTGTCTCTTATTAAAAATAAGTACAAAGCAGAGATGCTGTATAAGGTGTGTTTTCAAGGACAGGTATAGGATAATAGAATCATAGAATACTAAGGTTGAAAGGGGCCAAAAAGGCCATCTGGTGCTACCCCCTAATTGTGCAGGGCACCAGTTACACAATCCCAGTCAGATAACTGTCTAGTTTCTTTCTGAATGCCTGTAATGTGGAAGAGCACAGAATCCCTCTTGGCAACTGGTTCCACTGGCATATTGTTCTGACCGGTAGAAAGTCTAACCTGCACATGGTGTACTGTAGTTTAAGTCCATTGTTCTGTGTCCTACACTCTGGGATGAGTGAGAAGATGTCCTTTCCTTCTTCTTTGTGACAGCCTTTGAGGTGCCTGTAGAGTGTGACCATGTCACCTTGTAGTCTTTTCTCAAGGCTGAACAGGGCCATTTCTTTCAGCCTCTCTTCATAAGTCTTAGTTTTCAGGCCCTGTATCATCTTCACTGCCATCCTCTGAACTCTTTCCATATTTTCAGCATTATTTTTAAAACTGAATGTCCAAAACTGAACACTGCATTCCAAGTGAGGTCTGACTACCACAGAGTAGAGGGGAATGAGTACTTCTTTTCTGGAAGTGATTTATGCATCCCAAAATAGTGTTTGCCTTTGTTGTGGCTACATCACATTGCTGGCTCATATTTAGCTTGTTATCTGCAAGCTACTGTTACCTACTGTACTGTGGAGCCAAGTATTCCCCATCTTGTATTGATGCAGTTAATATTTTATTTTATTTTTTTATTTTATTTTATTTTATTTTATTTTATTTTATTTTATTTTATTTGGCCTAGGTAGAGAACTTAGCATTTGTCCTTGTTGAATTTCATTCTGTTGCTTTCCACCCAGTGTTCAAACTTGTCTAGGCTGCCCTGGATCTTCTTTTTGCCTTTCAGGGTGTTAGCTAATCTACCTAGTTTTGTATCATCTGCAAACTTAACTATGGTTCTCTAGACTTCCCATAAAGATATTAATAAAGATGTTGAAGAGCGCTGGGCCAAGAACTGAGTACTGTGGTACTCTACTTGTAACTTCTCTCCAGATTGAGGAGCTGCCATTGATGATCAGTCTATGTGACCTATTTTGAAACCAGTTGTGAATCCACCTCATAGTACTTATGTCAAGCCCACATTTCGCTGATTTATTAGGATGCTGTGGGGCAGTTTTTTGAAGGCTTTGGTAAAGTCAAGGTAAAATATGTCCATTGCATTTCCTCTGTCCATTTCGGTGGTTACCCAGTCAAAAAATGAGATTAGTTTGGGATAACTTATTAAGAAATGCATGTTGGCTTCTGTTATCACTACATTTTCTTCAAGGTGCGTACAGACTGATTTTGACAATGTTGTATGTTAGGGCATCAGTGGTCTGAATGGTACATAACATGAGCTGTCAGGTATGGCTCATTTTCATTTCTGGAAAAGTGGAGCAAAGGGCTGGGATGCAAAGTATAGTAGTGCAGCAGAGTTTAGGATGGCTTGCCATCATTGGCACTTTTGGTACCTCAAAAGCAGAGGTGCATATAAACCCGTGCTGATACACATATTGCGCAGGAATGAGAAGGGAGTTTTTGAACTCCAAACTATTTCTTCTTTCTTTTACTCTGCCTGTGCTTCCTCTGCTTTGCCTCTGACCTAGCCAAACCCCGTCTTTGTGCACCATGATAGTGTGACTTGTTGAGAGGCCGCCTCCTACTATCTGGAAATTTGCATGTAAATGAATGCCAAGTGAGGTCCATGATCCAGGACCTTCTTCAAGCAGGCTGTAGGGTGATCATTCAGAGACCTCTGTTTTCAGGTTCTTGTAGGTCCTGCACTCCACAGCATCCCCCCCCGCAGTAGATATGCACCCCTCCTCAGCCAATTCTTCTTCCCTCCCAATTTTGCTTAGCAACTTTAAGTAACCTAGTAACTTCCAGATGTATGGACACAGATTACACTATTTTTAGAGCAGCTAGCTTCCACACCTCTCCTTTCCAACTCCTGGTAGCTTCTTGGATGTGGTGCTTCCTTTCCTGTCCTATGGTATACAGATTTGGGTCTTATGGTATACAATGCACCACAATCACTGGGTCCACCCAGGAACTATCTAAAAAGTTATCTAGATGGTGCACGAGATCCGCAGCTTTTGTGCTATGCAGGCAATGCATATATTTTCATGTAAAATATTAATATACAACTTTCCGTTGTTAAAATACTGAACCAATTATAAAATACATCCATATTAAAGCACAACAACATTTAGACAAGTTAATAGTTAGGAATGACTGGAGGAAAAGGGTAGGTTTGAATAATCACCAAAGATATATGGTCCTTAGTGCCTGACATATCATAGAACAGAGGTCATTCCAGATGGCTGGTGCTACCACAGAGAAGGTCCATTACTGTGCAGCTGGCAAATGGAATTGTACAGGTTGTGTCTTGGTCATCAAGACTTCCCATAAAGAACATGGTGCTCTAATGGATTGGGTCTATGTAAGGGGAGACTATCTTTCAGATGGCCTGTTCTGAAATTGTTTAGAGCTTTACTTGCCAATGGCAACACCTTGAACCTGGCCCAGCTGCAGATTGGCAATGCATGTAGCTCTTTCAGTGTAGGTATTATATGTACATGAACAGGCATTCAGTCCCAGCTTCTCTGGAACTTTCCATGCTAGCTGCATCTTCTCAACTGACCTCAGGGGTAGCCCTACATAGGGAGCATTTTAGCAGCATTGATTGCTACTGCATGAATTATAGTGGTTAAGCTATCCCTGCACCAGGAACAGGAGCCACATATTCACCAGCCAAAGGCATTCAGTGCCATGCAAGTCACCTGGGCTCCTAATGACAGTGATGAATCTAGAAGCATACCCATGTTTTCAGCATGAGTGAAACTCCAGCCAGAACAGGTAAATTTTCTTCATTTTGTTCTTTCCATCTGATTTGGAGAGGTTGAGAAAGGCAGAGGGGTTCACGAGCAAAACCTGGCACCTAGTAGCTGAGTCTCAGTCGAGTTACAGCTGCCCTGGAGTTACAAAGAATGGGGTCTTGTGGGGGGAGGGGGAGTGTCATACCAAAGAAGGCTAACATAGATTCTTAGAAGATGTGCTTCCCTTGGAGGATCAACAGACATTCATCTGCACCAAGGATCTGCCTCTGGAGGGTGGAAGGACTAAGGGTGGGGGAAGGGAGGAGAGATTTGACTGTAAGTCACACAGACAGATGGCCTTGTGATGGGTATAAAGTCAGTTAACAAAATCAAGACCAAAAACACATAATTTTTAAGTATATCAGAAGCAGGAAAGCAACCTTTCATCTTCAGAATTAAGGCTATCCTAATTTTGAAAAATTGCACCTATATAAATACCATTTAGTATCTTTCCACTCTTCATTTTTAGGTTCTATTACCCTAATTCTGTATTATAAATTAATTGCCAAGAATACTATGCTGAATGCCACATGTGATAAATAGGCTACTGCTAAAAAAAAAAATCTTAATTTTTTAATGGTGGAGAGGCAGAGGGACAACTAGCTGAGGCAGTATTTTAAGTTTTGCGTCTTTCTTTTGGTGTGTTTGTTTGTTGCTGTGATACAAAAAAAAGCAATATATAATCCCGTTAGGGATGAAGAATAAATTAAAATTTGCTACTTATGTAGTCATTAACATAGCCAATTTACAAAACCCTTTATAAGAAAAATGGCTTTGTAATGGGGACACTGTGAGACTCTTAACTACACACTGCTGGGAGCCGCTTTAATAACGTCTAATGCAGTTGTAGGAAGCAAATCAGTAGCAGAGAGCAAGATCGCTGCTTGACTGCCCCTTTTCCTGACAGGAAAAAAGGGACAGTGATCAAGCTGAGGTCCTCAAAGGAGGCCCTTAAATCACTGGATAACATGAAGAATGGGATATACACAGGCTGCTCTGGAAAGCATATAACAAAGCATTTGAATTGTAGTGTGATAGATAATTCTTGTCGAAACTCTTAGATGACTGTGATCTTTTTGCCTTGCACATTAAACAGTAGTAAAGTGCGGCAAAGTTAATGGGAAATGTTCAAATGTAGTGTTTCTTTTTGTAGATGTTTATGACATAATATCAGTAATGAGGCATTGTATCAAAGATTCTGCCAGGAAGGTTGGTTTTTGGTCTTACACTACTATTTAGCCATGCACTGACTCTTAAAATGAAGTGCAAAATAATAATACAGAGTGTCTATTTAGTCCATTTCTTCAGAATGGTTGAGGGATATAGTCCCAAGAGAAGGTTTCCCAAGCCTTGAGGAACAGAATAATCTCATTTTTAGGAGGTAAAAATAGAAAAGATAATTAAATAATGGATCTGGCTCTTTTGGTTTTGGCCAAATGCGTTCAAATTTCACAGTAATATTTAAGATGATAGGGTAGCAAGGGATGAATTTATTTCAGTCTCTTAAATACTGTATTAGACACATGATTTGTTTTTGGTGAAACTACAAATAGCGATTTGCCAGGGGTGGTGGCTACCAGGAGGGATCCAAGTTAGAAGGGTTATTAATTTCCAGCCCTCAGAACATTGGATATGGCTTTGTTTTAAAAGGGAGGAAGAAAATACTGAAAGAAAACCCTTACCCTACAAAGAACAAACATGGGATTTAATCAATTCAATATGCATGTTAAAGGAAACATTTCTAAGGACAGTATTTGGATTTGAATTAATCTAGTTTTTTCCTTTCTTTTTGACAGCTAACCCCCTCAGAAACATGGCACAGTGACAATCAGTGACAGAAAAGTGAGGACAGTCAGGTTTGTTCTTTACATTAAATGTTATTTTTAATGGTATTGGATATAATTGTGGTTAGAACATGACTGAAACACTGAATTTGTCACCACTTGTGTGTGGCACACCTCAACAGGAATACTTGCTTTTGTTGTCAGGCAGAGGAATCCAAATGAATTAGGCTGTCTGAAGGGGTTCTCCATGCAAAGGATCCATTCTGAGCAGTGTTTTAAAAGGTTAGTTCAGCTTGGCTCCTGAAAGTTTAAAAGTGCTTCGAAGGTATGAGTGACAGTGCCCTTTAGGCAGTTCTTAGTGGGTGCTGACCATTTGGAGACACACCATTATGTTTGGAAATAGTGATATGGAATAATTTTGGTTTTATGCAGTCTGTTACATAATCCTTGCATATGCAGTTGGCCCCTAACATCGAATGAGCGAACAAAACCAGGCTTGCCTGTGCATGCAAGACTCCATGAATTCATTGGCATACAAGTAAGTAGTACACTAAATGGCATAATGCATCAAATAGTGCATTAAATGGCACGGTTGTTGTATGTATCCACCCATATTCACAACAGATTATTGACTTGTGTTACTTTGACGCAAGCCACACTGTTGGAGGCAAAGTGCCATGTTGACAGCCATCAAGTAAAAGGAACAAGAGGAGTCTTACCGTTAGATGCCTCTTTTATCCTTCTGTCTGCCCCTTAATCTAATCTCAGATTCAACTGATACTATTGATTATGTTCTCTTCAAACCTTATTCATTCAATGGTACTATACTCAATGTGTGGTAAAATGTTCTTCTTTTCATATGTGACTTGAGCATAAAAGGCAAAAGTATACAATTAATTTGCCAGCACTTTCTTTAAAATTGTATGCTGGATTTCTGTAAAACACTCTATGGAGCAGTATTCCAAGTAAATTATTGTTATTTACTATGAACTTTTTCCCTGCATATTTAAAGTCAACAATTATGTTTCCTTTTTATACTTAATGGCTTTGTACAATATTTTTAGAAACCTGGTCAATTCTTGCTTCACTGAGTCTGAGCATCTGATTCACACACAGTAGTCTGGAAAATACACAACTTTATAATCACCTACTTTTCAGATGCCATTAACACTTACATTTTATTTTAACATTTTGAAAAGTGAACTTGTGGAACAAAATACTAGAAGGTAATGGAAAATCCTTGATAGCATATCATTATTGGTCTTACCTGGACACATTGGTGGTTTGTGACATGAGCTAGTGGCATATTTTTTAGGGGGCAGAAAGATGAATACTGACATATTTATTTATTTCAGTTTTATATCTTCTAACGTCCAAAGCTCTCTGGGCTGTTAACAACAATTAAAACCATAAAATACATCACAATAGAACATAATAAAAATTTCTCCAAGTTCAAAACTACAGTATAAACTAAAATAAAAACCGGCAGTAATATAAAGATTCAAAAGACTGTGGTAAACTGCCCAGAGAGCTTCAGGTATGAGGTGGTACAGAAATGAAATAAAAAATAATTTAAAAAACAGCTTTTAAAAACAACGAAAAATGAAGGACTACATTGCCTGCAAACATCTTAGCCTGGCACTGAAAAGACCATCGTGTAAATGCAAGAAGACCTTTTCTGAAGACGTGTTCCACAACTGGGGTGCCACAAGAGTAAAGTTCTCTACTTAGCAGCCACTTATTTTATTTGACAGAAGCAAGACATCTGGATACGATCTTTGGGTCAGGTTGGAGGAGACAGTCCTTCAAAGTAACCTGGCCCCATACCTTGGAAGTTAACGCCAGAACTGGAAATGGAATTGAAATGGGCTGGCAGCCAGTGCAGAGGACAACACACTGGCATAGTATGTTCATACCCACCAATTCCCATTAACAATCTCACTGAATATTTTAGTCCACTTTCAAAAGTCAGCCAGATGTACAATGCTTTGCAGCAATCCAGATGAGAAGCTACTAGATTATGGATAACTGTAGCTAAGCTATCTCTGTAGCTGGGCTATCAGTCTAAGTTGATAAAAGCTGCCCCATGCCAATGGCTTACTTGCACAATTACAGGGTGGGTGACAAGCTGTGCACAAGCTGTATTATTATGCATACCAGTCATGCAATGGTTGATTTGCATAATTATTTTTTAGGATGGGTAACCAGAGATGGCTTTTTATGCTGCCTTGACCTGGTAAGTGTAGCCCAAGGCCTGTTGTAAGGTTTTGGGGTGGTTTGTTAACTACCCCAACAAGCCATCTTGCTGGACTCAGATGACATATTGAAGCCTCAGTAGTGGAGGAATGGAATGGCAACCTGGCACTTACAGATGCCTCAGTCACTCTGTTTAATAAAAATGATGTCCAAACATAAGAGCAGGAGCTAGTTTGTTTACTCACTCCTGCTTCATTAGTAACAACTGTAATTAACAAACCACAGGTTGTTTGCATACATGCAAAATGGGTCAATAACTGTTTGAGTGCTTTCCAGAAAGTGCATGTTAGCAACCAGCTATTATTAAGATTATTATTATATGCGTTCAAGTGAGCACTCTCTATTGTTGGGCCAGTTTATTGACTGCCATGATGCAGATCAGGCCTCTGATGTTGTGCCTATGGGGGCCATGGTGCTTACAAAGGGATCTCCAGTGTTATTTTTCCTCATTTGTATAATATATGTACATAGCTTCATATACAACACACACACAACTTTCTAGCAATTACAGTGGTTCCTTGGCTCAAGAAGGCCTCAGATTACAATCAAATTGGGTCGCGAACAGAAATTTCAGAAAAATTTTCCCTCAGGTCTCGAACTCCACATTGGGTGATGATCGTGAATGCTCCTGTCTTCCTTGCACAATCACGGTTGCGCTCGGGGAGGAGATGGCCATGATTGTGCTGGGGGTTGGAGATGGCTTCGATTGTTGTTCTTTGTTACTTTGTGGTTCTTAGTCACTTTGTTTCAAATTATTGTGATTAAAAAAAATGGTTACAGAACGGATTAACCTTATTTACATTGAACCTTATGGGGAAATTTGACTTGGCTCATGACCAATTTGGGTCGCAACCAGAATTGTGGAACAGATTAAGTTCCACAGTTTATATCTATATGCTACTCAATCATATATTGAAAGCGCTGTAAGGTCCTTTGTGTTACAGGAGGTGGGGTTTTAGGAGGAGATGTAATGAACAAGCATGGTTCATTACATCAAGTAGAGAGGACTTGTCATGCTGCTTGGAGGCAATATTCATCTTTTGGCTGTCAAAAGGGCAGAGAGAATCCATTTCAGTGGCCATTTCTTAATAGCTCTGAAAATGATGTTTAACACAGGATAGGTTTTTCTGTGACAGGTTGTAGCCAGTAGCTTAGAATATAGTTTTAAGTGGGGAATTCCTTGAGACCTCTCAGAAGGAAAAGAAAATAAACATTGCATTCCAAGGTTTAAGTACTGATGAAAAGGCAAGATGGAGTTCACTTGATTATGGTAAAAGAATGTAAATACTTAACAGGTTCGGGATCTGTTGTTTCCCTTCATAGAGATGGTATAACTTGTTTGCCAAATACCAGGGAATGATTTTGTTGGCCAATTTAGCAAGAGAGACCTTGTCCTAAGAAAATTAAATTCAGAGTTGGTTTGGATGAAACACAAAATCATAGTTTTAGCATTGTGAAGATGAGCTTAGGTGAGCCTCAAGATTTGCTCCCCCCTCCCGGGATCTGGTGCAGCCATTAGAAGAAATATGGAAATGTTCATTTCCACTTTTGATGAACCACACTTGGTTATCTTGGTTATTTAAACCCTATGGGCTGGTCAATTCTAACTGTGATTAGTATAACGCCACCTTCAAATTAGGGTTGTTGGTTCATGGTTTTCGTATAAATCCAGCTGCTCAATTGGATTGAGACCATACAGCAGCCCACTGTTCAAGATCACATGGGTCAATGACAGTTCACACTGAACCCATACTCAACTTTCATTATGAGTTCTTGTGTAAACCCATTGTGTAGAAAGTGGGATTGTTTCCTTTAGTTAATACATAGTTGATACAAAGGAAAAGCTTCTATCTCCTCACAGACATACTGGAGAAGGGGAGGAAGAGGTGGAGGGAAATTTCTGTGGCTCTCTGAAGCATGGGTTAGCCCAAATGAGGCCAGCTGAACATTAGTTGATTTATTAAAATTTAGGAAATTTAGCGTGACACAGAATTCACTATTTAAAATTGAACACTGAGGTATCTTTTTTGACCCAAACAAAAAACAAAATGGAAAGAAGAATGAATTGTCTAATGAAGTTGAAGTTGGTTAGCCATTATATCTCTTAATTCTAAACCAGGCTGCTTTATATCCTTCATAAATAAAACTCAGAACTTTGCTGATGTGGTCATAGAAACAGTTTTAGTTTTTACTGAACGAGTATGTTAAGTCTTATGTACTTATTACTTTACATTTTTATAGTTTTATCCTTGATAATGCTTATACTGGACATTGAATTTATCCATATTTTTGTGTCTTCATCTCCAGTGATAATACTTATGGCACGGGATATCATTTAAAGTAATTGTATTGCATTTTAAATTAGCTATGTTGAAAACCAGCCATACCATAGAATAGTTTGTCTGTCCAGTCTGTCCAGTCATGATTTTTGAATAAGCTTATTTCATGGCCCACTAGATTACCTTAGGAAGATAGGATCAATTCATGTGATCAGTTCCCATAGACTTGATCAGCTGCAGATGCTCTTTGGAGAAACTTGGAGATGAGTTTGTAAAAATCAGGTTGCATACAACCACAATTATTTCTGTTTTTTGAGCTCCTGGCCTAAGATAAATATAGCAGTGATTTTGGAAATGGCTTCTGGCTTTCAGTATATATCTTGGATTACTCAATTTTTCCCTACACAATTATGAGTTTAAGATGCTAGTGTGTAGGATATTCTAAGTAAACTGGCCCCTGGGCTCTGATGTATTTGTCAAACCTCTAGGGAAGGAGAGATTCAGGTGTTGGGACCCATGGTCTATCAGTAGCATATGAACTTCTTATCATTTTAGTCTTCCACAGAGGATATTCCTGAATCCTTTGGCTATCCTTACATTTCTTACTTTTACTTACTTTTTACACTTACTTTAAGTAGTAGAAGTGTTCCTTCCTGAGAGGTCTTTGATAAGGCAGTTTGTATTTGTATCTCAGAATCACTTCTATTGAAAGTTCAAGAAGTAAATATTATAATCAGCGAAGCATCA